GAACATGCACGGGAATCACGCGCCTCGGCAGAAAGGAAAGACAGTTGAGAAAGCCAGCCCGGCAAAGGGCTGTGAAAAAGAGAAAAGGGAGTGCGGCTGGGGTTGCTTGTCAGTGATGATTGTGAGAACACTAATGTTTGCCTGGTTGACAGTGTTCCCAACAGTTTCCCTAATTATCAGCCTGATTGTTAGTCATGTTTCTCTATTTATCAAACATCCCGCCTGCTCTCAAGGTCCTGAACAGCCCCCTCGACCCCCCCCCCCCCACCCGATGAGTCTGCTTCTTTTGCCAATAGGAGGGTACGAAAGTAAAAGGACCTGGCGTACTTGATTTTCCGATTTCCCGGATTCTTGACTGGGCTTACAGCTGAAAGGAAGTAGTATTAGCATGTCTGTTGGTAGGTGAGCTGGTGCAGAATGGTTGCGTTGTGTGTGCGTGGTGCATAGAGGCTTACAGGGTGCAAGGATGGGATGGGGACGGGCTATGGAAGGGGCATCTCCTGAATAGTGTGGGTGTCATATTTTTGGCCATTTGTAAGTGCCTTGAAAGTGGTAAATGGCAGTGGCTTTTCTTGAGCGCGGAGAATCATAAAACGGGATTGGTGCAAGGGGGTGTGGGAAAAAAATCAAAGCCCTGGGTATCCTTTGATGGGGTGAAACACTTCAGATTCCTGACGGCTTTTTCCGGGGTGGGCCTTTCTTACGGAGTCTTAGGCTTGAGCCTTGGAAAAGCCGGGCCGGGGGGTGACAGGGGGGGGGAAGGGTGTTTGGGCGGGGGGGCGGGGGGAATGCTCTCACTTGAGGATTCCTCCTTTGGGTTTCGGTTGTACGTGCCAAGCTGGTTGCTTAGGGTAAGTCCGAGTAGTAATGCATCATTTCGAAAGGAATGTAGTCAACCACCACCAGGATTCCTATTAATGGGGCCATGACAAGCACATGTGCCGAACGATGGCCATGGCAGGTTCACAATTGAGTGGGCGTGGTTTTCCCGCTCACATGTCTAGAGGCGGACATTCGAACGGTAGCACACTGCAGCCGCGGAAGGCTCGCGGAAGGCTTTCTCCCCGCAGAAGCTTGCGCAAGGGACCAGCGCACAGTACGGGGTGGGCAACCCTCAATCTTTCAACCTTTCAACTGGCCCACTTTCTCATCCATGTCATTCAACACCTTTCTGGTTTCTGGCTCCCAGCCATCCGGTTCACCTTAGCTTAGATCCTTTTTGGTGTTAGTGGGAATTCCAGTTAAAATATTGACGATGAATATGAATTCAGTTCGTATCAGCCATGTGTGAATACAGTTAATTCCGGTATTCAGCCATATTTATAACTGATACTAGGTATTCAGCCATACAGTTAATTCCAGTTAATTCCGGTATACATCAGCCTATGTATAATTCCGGTAGTTTCCGTAGTTCGCCCACGAAGAGCACCTTTAGCCTTTCGCGGGGGATCGGCCACCTTTCTGGGCCCGCGGAAGGGACTTTTTTCACACGGAGGCTTTGTGGAAGGTTGCGCGGAAAGGGTTTCTCGTACCTCCATGCAAAATTAAAGGGAAGAAACGCCACCTCAAAATCTTGCACATGTTGCTTTTCCATGTCAGTTTATATGATATAGGTTAGTTTTCTTGAAGCGGACTTGTTAAAACCGCTTGGTTTTCCTTTCAAACAGCCCCAAACTTGCACCCTCAGAGACACCTGTGCCGGAAAATCGATTCTAGGTACTTCCCCTTCCAGGTTCGCTCGCAAAAACCAGCCTCGGTTGCGGCCTGTCGAGCTCCCTTTTGCCTTGTTTCGGCTTGGGTCATCTCCAAAGAGACATTCGGGACCCCACCCCCCCAGACAAGTTTTCAGACTCCTTCTAACCACCCCTTCTAAGAGGCTTCATTCGCCACCGTTGCCGCGGGACTTTTTGGGGGTGGGGTGGGTGGGTCTTTCGGTTTCCTGCACTGGACTTCTCGGGGTGAGGTGATCCAAAAGTGCATCGAGCAAATGCCGCCGGACTCCGTGAACTTCATCATCAAAGCTGCCCGGCGCCCAGGTTTTGCCCTACGACGTTCGCGCGTGGCACGCCACGGATGGACGGGTGGGTGGCGGTAAGCGAGGGTCAGACTTTTGGAGTTGCGTTGGATCCAGTCTGAGGAAACCTCTGGGTTCATTTGGGAGTCACCATTGCGTTTTGTTTTCCCTTCGCAGGTGGAAATGAAGGCGGAGGAAACTGCAAGGCATGTGCGGGGGCCCTCAGCTGCGATGGCGGGGAAAAGAAGCCATGGCCTTGGTCAAAAGGGAGTTGTTGGTTCCCCTTGTGCTTCCTTTGAACCACCAATACACGTGGGTGGCTCGTCTTTTTTGAGTAGTACCCTTTGGTGGCTTTAAGGGAAACTAAACGGAACACCATCATTTAGGGGGTCCCCTAAAAATGAGACACCCAAAAAGGGTCTTGAGCTTTTCCCTTCTCGTTGAGGTCTTTCTGCGGCCAGCAGCTGGGGCGTGTTTTTTTTTTTTTTTTTGTCTGCAAGTCAAAACGAAGGAATGCCTTGTCGGGTGCAGAAAGTACCGCGTAAACCTTCTTCTTTTTAACTCGCCCACTTAACAAGCCACAATACCCAGTGATTTGCACAGAGGAGCATTTCATGTAGAATCACACAAAACATGCGAACGGCACATCTGGGCCTTCTCGTCTCATGTATAAACTTGCCACTGGCAGTGAGCCAACCAGACAACATGAATCTCTTTTCCTGTGCCAAGGGGAAGTGACTTCGCTGTTGGTTTCGCATTGGGCCAGTTTGTCCAACTGCGAAGCGGCGGTTTGGCCTACACCTGTTGGAGGGTCGCGGGGCTCGCGTTTTCAACATTGCACGATCTTCAGGGCTTGTGTTCAGCGAATTAGGTGGTGGATCATGTTCCTTTGCGTGGTTTGGCGGAACATCATCCCCAGCCGTCAGCTTGCATCCACTCGACTCAATGGATTCTTTCAAGCGCACGGACGGCAAAACCGGAGCTGATGCTCTTCTGAGGACTGAGGATCAAGGGAGAAGGCAACCGGAAAGACAACTGTTTTGTTCGATGGAGTTTAAGGGCAACCAGAAGTGACCCGCAAAGCCCATTGGAATCACTTCCCCTTTTTTTCGAGATACCGAAAGCGACTCCTGATGTTGACCCAGGATTCATGAACTTCCGGTTGATTGACAGGGGCGGAGTCCTCTTCTAAAGTTCGATTTCACCGGGGCTGGCCCGAGCTCCGTTTCCAGTGGACCAGGCGGAGCTTGTCGACCAGGCGGTGTTTGGATGGGTTTGGCAGGTCCACACCAGCCAGCCTTCTGCACAAACCTTCAGGCCTTTTCTGGGGTAGACTTCGGATACAAGGATACATTTCACATTTTACCAGTGACTCAACGTGGAGCAAACAATACAATATACATTCTATACCTGAACCGCCGGGAGTTCTCACGTTTCGGACACCCCCTCCCTCCCTCCCTCCCTCCCTCCCGCCCCGCCCCGCCCCGCCCCGCCCCGCCCCGCCCCGCCCCGCCCCGCCCCGCCCCGCCCCGCCCCGCCCCCCGCCCCGCCCCGCCCCGCCCCGCCCCGCCGCCCCGCCCTACGCCCCGCCCGCCCCCGCCCCGCCCCGCCCGCCCCGCCCCGCCCCGCCCGCCCGCCCCGCCCCGCCCCCCCCGCCCCCCCCCGGGCCCCCGCCCCGCCCCGCCCCCCCCGCCCCGCCCCGCCCGCCTCCTCCCTCGCCCCCCGCCCGCCCCCGCCCCGCCCCGCCTCCCTCGCCCTCACTCCCACCCCGCCGCCCCGCCTCCCTCGGCCCCTCGCCCTCGCCCTCGCCCTCGCCCTCGCCCTCGCCCTCTTCCTTGCCCTCAGCCCTCAGCGCACCTCAGCCCTCGCCCTCGCCCCTCGAATTCGGGAGGGGTTGTTTCTTTTTTGGGGTGAGGTACGGGTGCCGCGTGATCCAGCGCTTGCTGGAGCACTGTGCCTCTGAGCAGCTGAAGCCGATGCCGGGACCCACAAGTCGGTTTCGAGTTGAGACTTGGCTGTGTCTCTCAAAATCGGGGGTCCCCCCATTTTTTTCTTTTTTCTTTTTCTTTTTTTTGCTTTTATGTTGTTATTTATTTGTTTTTCTTTTCCAGTTGTTTTTTCCAGTTTTTTTTTTTTGGGGGGGGGGAGGAAGGCTCCTTGCGTTTCCCTTTTTGAGAGCCATTTCCGAAGTTAGGGTCGACAGTCTTCGGAGCACCCCTGATAGTTGGACAGACAGGTTCGGAGACCTGGATGTGGTGAGAGTTTCTTCTTCTTTTTTGCGGACCTGATCTAATGAGTTTCTCGCCCATTTCGAGTTTGATTTATTCATGGGAGGTCCCTCTTTTTGTTCTTGTCAAAATGACGACTGCCCGACTGAGCGGAGAGTTCATTTGGAGTCGACCAACCCAGACAAGGGCTCGTTGCGACTCAGTCACTCGGCAGTCCAGTTTAGGGGTTTGGCATCTTGGGTTCCTTTGAGCCGAGTCGGTGTCTGGCAAGTGCCCCATTTGGAGTCGGTCCTCAATGTGGAGATGATGTATCTTTGGTAAGCTCAAAGGGATTGATCTTGACAAAGCAGTTCCCCAAGAAGCCGAGCTGAGGCGTTCAAGCCCGCGGAACCTGGTCAAGTTGAACAGGAGATAAACTGTGAGCTCAGAATAGATGAAGCTCTGGACAAAGTTGGTTCCATGCTCACTTGTTTGTAGGAAAAAACAAGTGCGTCAACTTGAGGGGGTCTCTCTCTCTCTCTCTCCAAAATGGTTGACTTGCCCACAAAAGGGTCCAGTGGTCCCTGGTGGAGCAAGGCTCCAGAGAGATGGATCCGCCACATGCAGCAAGACGCGGGAGTGCAAGCATCCTTCGTCATCGGAGAACGGCCTTTGGACTTGGGGCATCCATGCCGCGCCTGGTGGTGGCAGTGTTTTGATTCATCCATCAAACATCAAGCCTGGGAACCAGAGAGGAAACTTCAAGCGATATTTTTTTTCTTCTTCCGGTGGGGGTTTTCTGAGCCGGAGCGAGCGAAGGTAGGGAATCCTTTGGGCCCAAAGGTTTTGAGATGTTCATTCACTTGGCTCCCAGATAAACCTTGCCAAAATCATACGGAGAGAACTTTGGTAGCGAACCCCCAAAGTGGTTGGTGGACATGGATCGGGACCCACTGAATTGTGATGTCCACCATTTCGGGTCCCTACCCAAAAATTCGGAGCCTTCAATACTGGACCTGGGACCCCATATGGCCGTTTTTTTTTGTCATACGCCTTTGACCGAAAAAAATGGCCATACAGTTGTTTACGGCTTTTTTTGAACAACATGTCGAAAAAAAATGGGTTTCATACGGGTGATTTACGCAAATGACCGAAAAATCATGGCCATACGGGCAAATACGGCCAAATACGGGAGTTTGACCGAAAAAAAACAGCCATACGGGGTGCCAGGGATGGTTGCGAAATCCTCTTAGGCACCACCGTTCAGAATCCCTGGAATGATTCGGTTCCCCTGTTACCAACAAACAATGCTTTCAACCATGGTTTCAACCTGGTGCGAAATGGATTTTCTCCATCCACAGCATGGCTCACCACCTCGTACTCGGCGACAGCTGCTTCGGCTCGGTTCGGTTGGGCAGGCTGGAGCAGATCCTCTACAACGTCGCGGTCTTGGCCAAGGACGCCTACGGCAACTACGCGGCTCGGCGGTTGGTGCCGGCTGGGTTGGCCCAAGAACTCTTGGAACGTCCGTTGGGTTTTGTGAGGGTCAGAAGAGAGTTGGTTAACTAGGTGCCCCAGCTAGGTGCCAACTTTTCCCGTTTCTTTTTTGGGGGAGGGAGGGTTCCGCTACTAAAATAGACTCCAGAAAAAGAAGGGTACCCTTATTGTATCTTCTCTACTGGAGGACCTAGTTAAAGTTTGCCCAGGCCTGGTCTCCCCCGATATTGTGTTGAACTTTAGGACTAGATTTGGCGCATACGTTGAACGTATCAGTCTTTGCTTACCCCGGGGTTGGGCCAAGGAATGTCGACCCTGATTAGTCCCCCCATCGTCGAGCTGGTCGATTTGGCTAAAACGAGCTCACCGATTTGAAGGTGGACTCATTCAGTCAGGCTGCGGATTTCGTGTGCCAAGATTTATTCTGAGGGGTCCCCATTGAAGCTGAGAAGCTGAGGACGAAGAAGGCTTGCTGCACTGGCTCTTGAGTTCCCCAGATAGTAGCTCACATAAAAAAAAAGTTGTTCCAACAAGCGGAGAGAGGGTGTGATGCAAAATGGCAGGGCCCTACGTGTTGATAGACTCCTTGTCTGGGGCTGCTGGGTGCCCTCTGGTGGACATTGGAAGCAGGTTGGGAAGGTGGCTCATACGCATGTGCGCGTGTGCGTGGGTGTAGGGACAACTGGTTCCTACTGTGGGTGGCCTTTGACTCATAGGAAATCTTTTCAGAAAATCATTAATGGTTTCTATTGAACACGAGGATCCAATCTAAATCCACGTTCTCCTTCGGATCCTGAGGTGGTGCAACATGTGCTGGAGCACGGCCGCAAGGAGGACAAGCAGCGCCCCTTGTTGCTGCAAGAGTCTTCCATGTGGGAACGTAAACCCTCCGATGGTATGGTTTTATGCTATTTCCCATTGGAGTGAACCCAAAAGGGCGCCTAGTTTGGCACACACCTGTTTTGCTTTTTGTATTCTACACGTGCTGATGGATATTGCTCATACAACAATCTCACAGGTGTAAATCGAACGTGCCCCGGCGAAAGCTGCCTTTCGTTGGAGGTTCCGAGGCTCCCTGGTTCAGATCAGTGAATCACAGTAACTTGTGCAGGTATTGCCTGACATTTGATGGGGAGACCCGGGCTCAGTGCGGAAAGGAAACCAGCCATGGGCGCTGGTTGGCCGCGACTGGAAGCTCCAATGAATTTGGGCCTTGAGTTTGGGAGCACGTCCTGAGAGTTTCATGCAGACGACAAGGGCCCCGAAGCATTTTGTGAAAGGGGCTCAAGACATGAATTCCAGGTCCCTTTTAGCAAATCTCACAAAGAGTACCTTCCAAAGCACAAAAAAAAACATGAAGTTTCCCTTGCAAAGAGTACCCTCCAAAAACACAGCATGAGACGTTGGCCAGCATCCAGAACCACTGGCCGCACTTTCTTTGGCTTTGCTTTCCTGCTGCAGTGGTTGCAGAGCGACGCGGTCCTGCGCTTTGCGCGGAGGGGTGCTTGAAGTTGAGATATGCCTTGAGGTTGGGTCAAGCTTTCCAGTAGTCTATGGGTTGTCGTTCTCACCAAGTTTTCAGCACTTTGATGATTTGACCATACTCAAAGTCACCAACCTCCAAACCACCGAGCTCCAAACCACCAATTAGAGCGAAGCTGATGTGCTTGCAACGCGGGTGGATTTGACACTTCACATGCAGGTGTAGAGGTGGCTAGTATACGGGTGTGTCTTTTCTGGCCACCCTGAAGGCCAGTAGTTTGCATGGGGTGTGAAAACCGACCGCGAAATGTCGGGTGCGTATAATATATATATATATATATATAATATATATATGTGACAAACAGATGTAGACGCCTAGTTAAGCCTTTGCGAAACAATAACATGACCTAGGTTGACTGTTTTGTTTGTTTGTTTGTTCGTTTGTTCGTTCGTTGGCTTGGTCGCTCGTTTGTTTGTTTGTTTGTTTGTTTGTGTCTTTGTTTGTGTGAGTGTGTGTGTGTGCGCGAGTGCTTGTTTCAAGTTCGGTTGAATACAGCTCATAGACAGGAGATCTCTGTAAATGGTTGGTTTGTCGCGCAGTTGATTGATCCTTTCTGGGGAAATCTTGCTCAGAAGCAAACTGGCCCGGACGCCAACCCCTGTTTCTTCTTCACCCCACTCTCCTTGTTTTGCGTGCCTTCTTTTATGGGTGCACTCATGGTTGGGTGTGCAATGAGCCAGCAGGCACCCCCCGCTTGTAACGAGGGAGCAGGCCCCCCACCCCCCACCCCGCCGTTTTCGCTCGGAAGATCCCCCCCGGGTGAGCAGCGCCATTTCGAGAGCCACACGCCCGAGGCATCATCCAAACCATCCGGGGCCAAATCGCGGACTTCTCCCGGGAGAAGTACTCCAGCAACGTGGTGGAGAAGTGCTTCGAGATCGCCACAGCGCCTTGGCGCGCTCGCTTTTTGGAGATTGAGATGGGAGGGTTTAGTGGACATATATCCCTAGCTATGACCTCCTCAAGTGGCTGATTGACCATCTGAATGGGACCGCTCCTGGAAAGGCCTTGCCATCCGCTGAGCTGAGTGTGAGAAGGTGGGTTCAGAAAAGCCGCAAGTGTGTGTGTGTGTGGCAAACTAATTTTCTCACTTCCTGAGTTCATGAACTTTAAACTTTTTGTGAAGACCATTTCAGTGGCAAATGTAAAAGCTTGGTTACTTTTTTTGGGCCATCCACTCAGCCAGTGATAGGGGAACCCCTGGCTCAGAATGGTTTTTGGTTTTCATTTTTTCCAACTGCGTCTCCAGGCCCCGAACTTTCGTCCGGTGTATGAGTTTCACCCCGCCTTCCTACAGGGCAGCTGAGGCCATTGGCTTTTTAAACACGTCAAGGGGCCAGGAATTGGGCATTTTTCTTTATGGGCGTTCCGAAGAGTTTCCTTGATTTGGGCGGTGGGATGCCTGGAAACGCCCATCCATCCGTCCGTCCGTCCGTCCGTCCGTCCTTGCATCCTTCCGTCCATCCGTGCATCCATGCAGCCGTGCATCCATGCATCCATCCATCCGTCCATCCATCCATCCATCCATCCATCCATCCATCCATCCATCCATCCATCCATCCATCCATCCATCCATCCATCCATTCATCCATCCATCCATCCATCCATCCATCCATCCATCCATCCATCCATCCATCCATCCATCCATCCATCCATCCATCCATAGGGGGCTTCACTCAGGTTGGCGAGCATGCTGACAGCGACGTGATCCAGCAGGCAGGGCTACCCGAAGCTCACGGAAGGAGCTGGCTGACTTGGTGTGGATCATGTCACGGAGATTTTTATTTGGGTGTGGGTCAAAAATAGGTACCAAACATGGCTTGCCCTGGTATCTGGAAACAAGGACTAAAACCTGCGGTAAGGTGGTTTTAATTTTGACCCAGGCCCATACCCATTTTGGGGGGGGAGCTAGGTACGACCTATGGAACCCTTAGGCCTTACTAATCCTTGGCTTATCCTCGGCTTTCGAAAGAAGTGCCCCAAGGAAAAGCAGCACTATATATTTACTATAGCTGATGTGAAAACGGTATGCGACCCATTTTCCCTTAGGCAGAGGTTTGCGGGTGGAAGACCTTTTTGATACAATCCTCTTCTTCGTCGGATAGGTCTCCCACGGGCATCTCGTGAAATCCCGGAGTTGGCTTTTCAGCAAGCCCAAAACGAGCACGGCACATTGGAACCGGGGACGGGATGCATCTGATTTGGAGATGTCCCCAACGTGGCTTGGACCAAACAACTCTTGTTTGGACCAACTCCTTTTTTTTTCAACCCCCCATCCTCTCAGGTTGGTTGACACCCATTCGTTTTTTTTGGGGGGCGCTCGCCGTTGCTGGCCGGCCAGGAGCGGGCGGCGCTGATGCGGACCGTCTTGGAATCGCCGGGGCCTGCGGGTCGATGCCGTGCGCGATCTGCTCGTGGTTGAAGTGGGGGTCAACGAGAAGATTCAACTGAAGGGCCGAACTCACTGCAATGGGCTTCTGGGGTGCTCTGAAACCAACCGTTCAGTCATGGTCATTGGGGGAGGAACACTATTAGTACTTATCTTGTGCCCCTTGGTATCATAGGCGTCGAACGCGGAAATTCGGACGTGGTAATTACTGCTTACCAAGTTTCAGGAGGCCACGGCACTTGTTGCCAGAAAACATATACAGGACGGAGGTGCTGATGACAGATGGTGGTTTCCCTTGCTGTATTGGTGTCTCACTAGGGATTCCAGACTAGCATCAAGGATCCCCCCCCCCATGTGGAACAAGGTATTCCATGTTTTGAGGATGAAGCTTTGGTGCATTTTGCCAAGGGATGTTAGGACTTTAACTTTTTGCCTTCTTTAATGGGTTTTCCGTACTAAACCACTAAGAGTTAAAGCCACTTATAGGGCTTCGCAGATTTCTCAAGCGTTCCCTTGAGGCCGGAGGTGCTCTTGTCGATGTGCACCAACACCTACGGCAACTATGTGGCGTCGCCGGCGGGTTTCGGGAGATCGGCATGGCTGGCTTGGTCCCCAGAAAAGTGACACCACGGGAAGCTCCCCAGAAACACGACACCGGACCGAAGCCGGACCTCCTTTTTGGGCCCCCAAAGGTGACATTCCTATGAAGTGTCCTGGATGTGGCCTTTGAGTCTGTGATAGGTGTTTGCATTTCGGAGGTTCCATGTTTCGTTGGCACCCAAGCAGCTTAAGGGAGGCGCGGGGTTGAAATTGACTGTGGGTCAAAAGCAATGGTATCCTTTTGGGGTAGGTGGTGCCCCATTTTAGAACCTATTTTAGTGATTGGATTGGTTGACGTTCGCTGGGCGAACCGATTTGGATTTTGCCCCATGGCCACGAATTGTTTCAGAGGAAAAGTGGATCCACCTCGAGGGCTCTGCCAGCGAGTTGGATGGGTGGCTTGGGCTTGGGACATGAACCTGCTTCCTGGTGAGGGAAGACATCCAACGAGGATCCGCGGACCCGGTGGGGAATTTCCAGAGAGTTGAAATCTCGCCAGGAGAACTCTGGGAGGGGGGGAGGGGATGAACTCTGGATTCCACGGCCGTGCTCCCCTGCCAAAGGGAGATTCCCAACCTCGACCCTGAGCCAGAGCCAGGCTAAAGGTCCCAGCTTTCTTCTTTCTAAGGTCTGACGGATAGAAGTGCGAAATGCGCGGAAGGGAGATGGACGATTTCTTGATGTTTGCGGAGCCCCAAATAGGGCACTTGGGTTGCTAAGGGGGCTGCTTAGAGCGTTTTTCTTTCGCTCACCGTGGCTAGAGCCAGTCTCCATGAGTTTGCAGCGCGGGCGAAATATCACGGAAGCATCTTTGCTTCCTTGAAACCTTGAAACGGTCTTGGCTTTCTCCGTCTCTCTTTTTCTGTCTCTCTCTCTCTCTCTCTCATGCTCGCGAAAGACGGCGGCTCAAACACCCCAAGGTGGAGGAGAGAACCCACAGACCCAGAGGCCAGCTTTGCAATTGGGACATGCCAATCGATTAGGTGTTGTGTGCATGCGTTCCTGACTCAAATCGTTTCAGGACAATGTGGACATATCTTCCATGAGCTTGGAACATTGCACTGACAGCCCAGATGCAAGTGGGTGGGTTGACACTGAGACGTAGAAAGGTCCTCTTTTCCCCGCACAAAGGTCTCCCTTCGTTTCAGCGGCCAACCGGTTTCAACGCCATGTTGCGTCTTCGGGTGCAGCGCTTCATCCCGCGCGCGGCTTCGGGAGCGCGCCTTTTCGCGGCGTCCGGGGCGGCAAAGGCGGCGCCGTCGTTGAGCAGGCGCGGCGGGAAGGGCCCTTGGAGAACTTGGGCTTTCAGAGGCTTCTCCAAAAGCCTTCGGTGGCCGGGTTTGATTTTTTTTTTTGGGGGCGCCCCGAAGGGACCCGAGTTGAGGTGGAGAGTTTGTATGAGCTCGCTTCATCGCCAGGAGATGAGTACCATGTAGATGGGGATAGGGGCCGGCGACACGCTGGCGCGCTATGGGCGCTGCCTGGGCTGCTCACAGTGGTTGATTTCCAGAGGCCGAAGCATCAATCGAGGAGGTTGGACACCTGTCCGACCCTTCGCCACTTTGTAGATTGATGGCCCCCGAAATGAGCCGAATGGAGTCTTGTGCGGTCAGAAGACTGGTCTGCGGCAAGTCGGGTTTGTTGGGCTACCAACATGTGATGCCAAAGGTCCCCCTGAAAGTGACAAAGTTGTCATGGGGATGGCCTCTGGTACCATAAAGACGGACTTTCCACAGCCATGGATGCCCATGGATGCCGTTGATTACTTGAATTGATTGGCTTGTCAATGGTCAGCGTTCAGTCGCATTTTGTAGTAAAAGGCACACGGATCTGCTGGAGGAGGATCTCCTTTCGGGTGTTTGAGTCGTTTTTATTTTTCTTTTTTTTGCCACGGGCGTGCACATCTCCCCCTTCGTCAATCAGGTCCGGCCGATGGGCACATTAGAGTCACATCCACCCTACAAACGGGTTTGAAGTAATTGGGAGAACCCCTCAGAGTTACCAACAGCAAATTACTAGACGGGCCAAGCTTGCAGATGTTAATCCCCCAAAAGTAGATGTCTAGACAACACTTGAAGATTTTGATCCACCAAACGTAGAGGTAGAGACCGGAGACACGGAGCGCCGGGTCCTCCGCTTCTCCGCTTCTCCGCTAGGCGGGTGCTGCGCTCGGCCTGGGGCCTGGGCAAAGGCGCCTGCACGGCCAGCGGCTTCGCGGGGCTGGGCGCCTTCGGGCTGCTGCTCTGCCCGTGCGCGAGTCGGCGGGAGGTGGGAGGTGGGAGGTCGAGGGCGGGAGGTGGGAGGTGGGAGGTCGAGGGCGGGAGGCGGACGGTTGGACCCAGGCAGAGCGAAGAGGCAAAAGCGACCTCAAAACAAAAGAGATTTGCAGCCTGTCAAAGAAGGCCGGGAGAAAGGGTGGGTGGGGTGGGTGGGGTGGGTGGGTGGGGTGGGTGGGGTGGGTGGGGGGGGCGGGTTGGGTGGGTTGGTGGTTGGTTGGTCGGTTGGTCGGTTGGTCGGTTGGTCGGTTGGTCGGTTGGTCGGTTGGTCGGTTGGTCGGTTGGTCGGTTGGTTGGTTGGTTGACTGGCCACATCCCCGGGCTTCGCCAAACGGAAACAAGGGCACTGAAGGAAACTAAACTTCAGTTTGCCACAATTTGATACCAAGAGAGGAACTTTGGGTGGTGCCCCCTTTCGAGGTGTTAAATGCCCATGTGGCTGGGGTTGTCTATTGGCTCTGATTGGGTGGCAGTTTGGAGTTGCTGGGGGCTGGTTTAAACTAGGGAGGCGTTTGGCTGTCTTAGATCTTCATGAGGGTGGGTCTTGGTGTGGTTTGGGGTTGATTTGGCAAAGCGAAGGGTTGACATCCAGGGGTTCTCAGGTTCCCACCAATCCCAACCACAAGGTGACCATATTTGCGGGTACAAGGGGCTGAAGAATTACTAACATGACCATATGGCTTACTTTGGTTTTGTGGTACCCCAAACACCCATTCAGACTCCGTATTTAGCCCCTTGCATTGGTTGACTTTCAAGAGAACCCTCCCTCCAAAACACCAACACTAACACGGGAAGACGGGCACTGGAGCTCCGGGTTTAGGCTTGACTTTGAGTGGGTTTGCGTTGGCTTGGAGCTGATTTGTGTTAGGTGTGCTGCTGGTTTAGGGTTGCTTTAGGTGTGGTTGAGTGAGTTTGGTATCGTTTAGGATTGGTTTTGGAGCGTTGCTCCCAACCACCAAAACTCGCTCACTTAACCAAAAGCAACCCTAAAGCCGTTGCTAAACCAGCAGCACAACTAACACAAATCAGCTCCAAGCTAACCCAAACCCACTCAAAGTCAAGCCTAAACCCGCCCAACAGCAGCCTGGATGTCAGCTCTTCGCTTCGCCAAAATCAACCCCAAACCACCCAAGACCCACGGTCATGAAGATCTGAGCCAGCCAAACGCCTCCCTAACTTAAACCAGCCCCCAGCAACTCCCAACTGCCACCCCATCAGAGCCAATCAGCAACCCCAGGGCCAAGTGATGCTGGTGATGCTGGGGATGTTGCCAAACGGACCTGGTAAAAACCAAAAAAAAACACGGAAACCCACCGCTTACCTTGCAGGTACGTGGTGCAGCGCGCGCCTTTGGAGGAGGCAGACCGAGAGGCTCTGTGGGAGGCGCGACCGCGGGGGGGGGGGGGTGGGGGGCGGGCGCGGGGGCAGCCTCTGGGACCCGCATGCATGTTCTTCAACCTTCTTTCCAAACTGCCCCCAGGAGTTGTTTTATATCTCTTGCCCCCTTTTCCGCCTCAAGCAAACGGGGTAGTTCCTCCTTTTTTTTTAATTACCCAAGAAGGGGTCCAGCATTTTGAGAACTCCGAGATTCTGCAAATCGAGAGTACTCTCTTCTAAGCATGCAAGCCCGGACATCAACTCATCAACTTTCAGAAGTCCTGGAAACCGAAAGGACCTGCAAGTCAGACTTAAACCAGTCTCAACTCCATCAACTCCAACTCGTCAACTCGTCAACTGGGACCTACCGACGGAATCAACTCCTCCACCTTCTTGCATCGCACGGTTTTTCTTTGTGTTTCCAGGTCCTTTGGGGCTTTCCAACTAAACGCCTGAGACCGCGCCGCGGACCGCACCGCGCGCGCGCGACAGGACCTGCTGCAGATCACCGCGGTCTCGGAGAGCGACCTGCTGAGTTTCGCCGAGCTCTGGGCGGCGGTGGTGGAGCTGCGTCTGCCGCCGCTGTCCTTCCACGACCTGCCGGGGGCCCCGAAACGAAGCGGTTTTTGTTCGGGCCCCAAAAAGGCGGTGTTTGTCGCGTTTTGGCGCAAACGCGAGGAGGACACGGGGACACGGGGATGGGAGTGCGACTTGATGGGAAATTCGAAGGCATATATTGGCCTTGCTTTATATAACCCCAGTTTCGGCCAGGTAGAAAACCACCCGCTATCTCGGCGCCCCCCGTTTTTGAGGGGGCCCTTCGCGCGCTCTTCGATCGCGCGAGCGAGACAGCGGCCCCTGGGCTTCCGCGGCTTCGAGCTCCTGGGGCGCTTCACCTTCGCCTGCTACTCCGACGCCTCCGGCGCGCCTTGGGCCTCGGTGGCTCGATTTTTTCGCGGGCGAGAGGCGCCTTTTTTTCTTGGGGGCGTGGGGATTCGCTAGTTGACCCATGTAGAAAACAAAACCGACCTGGCGTTTTTTTCTTCCCATGCCCCTATGATATTTAAACAAATGCTTGCTCTCCTTCGGGGCATGGGGGACTCTCTAGTTTACCCATGCCCCCACAGCCAAAAACCCGACCTGGCATTTTTTTGCCATGTCCCTATATGGCAACAAAGGAAACATGTTTTTCTGCGAGGATGTTCTCCGAATTCGCGGTCCGCGGATTTTTTGTCGGCGGCCGAGGTGATGACATTGCCGGAGTTTACCTGTGCCGTGCACAAAATGGTGGACCTGGCCCTAGAGGTGCAATCCATATCGTTTGGCTCGATCCTCGTTTTGGGTGTCTTGTTGGTTTCCCCCTTTTTTTGTTTTTATTTTGGGGGGGGTGGAGACAAGTCTCATTGCCGCTTTGTTGGTTTCTTCATTTCCCAGTAAAAAACCCGCCAAGGTGAACCTTTTGCAGTCTAAGTTTGGCCCATCTGAAAGACAGACACGCTGGCATGGGGGTGGCCTTTTTTCTTCAGCCCAAAGTGGAGGACTTGCTCGTTTCCTTGGCTCTCTTGGGCCCGGGGTCTTGTTTTAGTAAGGTTCACATGGCGCAGAATCAAAGACCGGTTTTTGTTTGTTTGGGAGCCAAAGTAGAAAGCGAGCCCATTTCGAGCTTGGCCTGCCCTCAAAACTAAGTAGTGGTCATAAATTCCCCCCATGTGAATGCTGAATACACAGGGCATTGGATTTACACACCCCATCGTGCCTGTATTTCTGCACCTGCATTGGGTATATATTTTTTTTATATATTGGATTTGCATCATGTTTCGACGGGGTCTCTTTCCTTCATTTCCTTAGACAACTTTTCCAAACTGATATCTTCTTCAACTCCGCAGGTTTCATCAAAACTGACACTTCCTCAACCTTGCGGGTTTTCCAGCGGGTTCAACGGCTTCCCCGGTTTGTTTCCGCGTTTTTTTCGCGCGCCGCGGCTCGCTCGCACGTGTTCCACGCGTTGCGCCCGCGTCTGAGCGCCGGCGAGGTCCACAGCCAGGCCCATGGGGGGCGCACCGACCGCGTGGCGCGTGCGCGCCTGGTGCGGCACCTCTCGCAGCTCATCGCGCCGGCGGCTCGGCGGCTGTCGCTGGTGGGGATGGGTCGAGTCGGGAAGTGGTGCTCATGGCTAGGTCCCCTAGCCAGGTGCCAACTTTTACCCATTTTTTTGGGGGAGGGAGGGTTTCCCTAGTAAAATCGTGCCCTTCTCACCCGTTTCTTTTTTGGTTGGGAGGGTTGCGAACCCTACTAAAATAGACTACAGAGAAAAGTTGATACCAGAATTATTCTAACCTCTCTGGACTTAGATAGACAAACTGGGGATGGCTGCAGGTTTTAGTCCAGGTTTCCATTTGCCAGGATTCCATTTGTGGGTTACCTATTTTTGACCCACACCAAACTGACAAAAATAGGAATACTCTGACATACAATCAAAATAGCAATGACAGTCGGAATAATGAATCCGATGATGATACTCTGAACAATAATCATGATACGCATACTAATACCACTACTTCATGATAACACTATTGATAATGATAACATTAGCATGGTATTGTTTGAAGCCATGGGTCAGGCTGGGACTTTTTGCAGCCCCATAAAAAACTCGAGCACTTTTCAAGGAAACCTGAAACGGGATCCGGCGCCCTTCGATGTGCTTGGAAGACAGACCCCCCTTTTTGGAAGAGAAGCCCCACCCAACGTGGGCCTGTGGGCAAGTAAGTACGTGTGTCAACCGAAAAAAATCAGACCTGTGCCATGCATCTGTGTTTGAACAACAATCCTTAGATGGATGCTCAATCCACGGAAGGAAAGTTCCCAAATGCCAAGGCAGTGTTCCGTGTGTTGGACTTCGACCAGAGTGGTGACATCGGCGCCTCGACCGGGCGATGCAATGAGGGGAAGCGCAGAGGTGGTTAGGGACACCGCGGCCCACCTGTAGATTCGTGCTGCGTTTCATGATCCACCAGATTTTTAGATCTCATTTTCGATCCTATGCGGGTCGTCAAACATGGCTGACCCTTTTGGGGTGCCTTTGTTTCGCCGGTTCGGGAGAAAGCCCTTGGTGCATTCCGGCGCATTCCTTTACTTTGGGACTAACATGGTCTACCCAGAACCATGTAAGGAATTGAGAAGGCGGAATTCCCGGCCATTTTTTTTGCCGCAAACTCCGCGAGGCACTTTCGAGTTCCTCCGCGGGGCGCTGCTGCTGCTCTGTACGGTGCAGGGCGCGCCGCTGGACACCCCGCAGCTGGCGGACCGAGATCGAGCGATCGAGATCGATCGAGCGATCTGGTGGCTCTTTGGGGTCTCGAGATGATCCCATGGCTGGGAAGGAGGAATTTGAAGGCCGGAGTTCCAGTCACACTTCAGTCGAATCAGCCAGAGGTTCCATGGCTGGGAAGGAGGAATTGATGCTCCCATTCTCTCATGAGCTTTCCGGGTCTTGAGATTATCCCATTATCTCATGGCTGGAAAAGCTCGATTTTGTTCTTCAAGTTTTTTGCAGGTCGTTGGGGGAATAACACGCACATTTGAAACTCCAGAAGGCAAACTGCTTCCACTGGTTGTATGATAGCAATCACTTGTTCAGGGCCCCCTTTCGCTAGATTCAGATATCAGTATTTGGGCCGAAAAGGGAGTTTTGAGGGAAATGCAGGGGGTCTCCTGTTCTTGCAGGAGAAGGGTATTCCAGTCACACTTCAGTCGCATCAGCCAGAGGCTTGCACCCCAGAAGCTCGTAGCTCAGTTTTGCCCCCCCCCCCCCCTCCCCCTCCATTCCCCCTTGGATAAACAAATGCAGGAAGGATGAGGCTTTGAAAAGCCTGCACATGCACAAACCACTCCAAACCGCTGAAACCGCTGCCATTCTTGAGTCGAAAGAGGGCTGAGCGCGGCTGGGACAGCAGCCAGGTACAAGACGAGCTGAGCTTGTTGTTTGGTTCTGTTGTAACATGGACGGCGAAAATCTGGGGTACTAAAAGGGAACAACGGGTGAACTGCACAGTTGGATTGGGGGTCTGTTTTAGACCATTTTTGGGAGGCGCCCCGCCCATTGTCATGGCTGTTGCGGGGATGATTTCGGCGCAGTGGTTTGCATTTTGGTGCGCCGCGAGGTGCCTTGCAGATGCATTTGGCTATGAGCTTTGATGGTTGGAGTCGGAATGGTTGGTGGAGTAAAAGGCCTTGGCCGTTGTGCAGGCCAAGCCATGGGGGAGACAACTGGGTTGCTCTTGGGTTTCACCTTTGAATTGCGAGTTGGTTGTTGCAACATGTTTTGAGCACCAAAAGGGCAGGTGAGCCCGAATCAGGAGCTACATGGGCGATCTGGTTGTACCTTGTATCTTTTTGCGGCAGCTTTTCGGTCTGGGTGGTTTTGAAGGGATACACATGGGGAACACCCACCCATTCTTGGGTCCCATTTTCACCCGCAGCCATTTGGATGAAGGTGTCCAATTGGGCAAACCCGGCCGTTTTCCGTGTTTGAAGGCATCCCGGAATTGCGCTGATCAAAGTGACCCCAAGTGATCCTTCTGAAATGGGACAGCCCCGCCTTCAAGCCACCAGAGGTCAGGTAACCCTTTGTTGGTGGATTGAATGATTTGAACCCCTGGTACATTGGAAACCACCCAAAAATACCCAACAAACCCAATACAGGGAAGCAGCTGACAAACCCCTCCCAAAAAACCCACCAAACCGCTGGGCAATCTAAACCACCGGCAATCCAAACCACCAAACAACGTGGGAAGCTGAACTTTGGTTGCTTTGGGGCCTTTGGGGTCATTGTTTTGATTCTGCTTCTGGGGAATGTGGATGAATTGGATTGGTGGTTTGGGATTTGAATCCTGGCTTTCGTAGAGGGTACATGGGACACCCCTCCACAAAACCCACCAAACCAATCAGAGGGAAGAAGCCAGAGGTTGGCAAACCTTCACTGGACCACCAAACCACCAAGAGGGATGCCAGAGGTTGACACCTTCCAAGAACCCACCAAACCACCGATTCGGCTCCGAACCTGGGGTAGACTTAGGACACATTTTGCATTTTACCAGTGACTCCATGTGAAAAATTAAGATCTACATTCTATAGCTGGGCCTAACTCTTATCATGAAACCACCAACAAGAGGTTGACTTCTTTTTTCCGACTTCGGCAGAGGAGTTGGCCTTCCGCGTGGTGGACGCGGACGGCAAGGGCCGCGTCACCCACACGGACCTGGCGCGCTGGGTGCAGCTCGGAGTTCAGGCGGGGGGACCCAGCGGCGCCTTTTTCTCTCTTTTTTTTTTTTTTGGGGGGGGGGGGGGTGGCGTGTCTTTTTTTTGGGGGGGCGCCGGCCCAAAAAACGGATTTCTTCTTCAGTTCTCCTTTTTGGATTTCCGTTTTTTGTTGTTGATTCTTTTGGTTTCCCTTTCAAAACCAAGAAAGGGAACACCCCCAAAAAGGACAGAGCCATTTTGTTGGATGGGAACCCCCATTCAAGTCAAGAAAAAAAGGGTGCTTTTTTCCTGGTGAGAGAAGCTCATCAAGGGTGGAGGATTCGTGCACGGTTTCTCTGTGTGTGTGTGTTTGTATAAAAGTATGTGTATGCATATATGGTGTGCCCCCAAAGTTCTACCATTTTTAGAATCCGCCAAATTTTAACAGACATCGCATCTGCCAAATCTATGTCCACACAGAGGCGGAGGGGCTAATAGTATCAATACACCCGGGATTGAAGAAACAAGCTTGAAAACTAGAGGTGTTTTCTCTTAGAATCTTCAATCCCACATTTATACAGGTGAACAGCAGGTCAAATGGCCCTTTTCCTCATCCAAGTTCGTGCTAACATGTGCAAGCAAATCCTGGATGGAAGATGCGTGCTAGCGCATCACGTCAGCACAGGAATCCCGAAAGGCTAAAAAGGTAGATCTTCTGGGGGGAGCGGGGGGCGCATATACACAGACACAGACACATACACACCTATTTGGGCAAACTATTTTGAATTCACGGGAACTTGTAGACACTCCCTCTTTCCAATGGTTCATGTGTGGGCCTCTTCACAAACCATGCTTGTGTATGCTTGGGTGTTGGGTCCACTTTCTGTGAATGCTAGGGAATTCTGGTCACAAACAAGGGGGCCTAGATTCATGCGTCAAGTTGTCAAACGTATCTCCCTCGAAAGGCGTCATGAAACATGACCAGGGTTCCAAAACAAGCGTATCTCCCTTAAAAGGCTTCATGAAACATCACCAGGGTTCCACAGGCCACTACTTCTGGCAAAAGTTGCTAGTTTGGTCGCCGTTTAAACGCTGCCCCCCCCCCCCCCAAACCCAAAAATCACCTTGCGCTCGTTTCGGCTGCCTGGGCTCGCGAGAGTCGGGCCTCGCGCCGGTTTCCTCGTTTTTGTTCGCCGCGAGGAGGGCGTGGTGGAGCACGAGCTGCAGCTGGAGCCAGTGGGCCCGTGCTTTGGACTTTCAGATGGAGGATGTGGTTCTGGGGTGGTTCTGGGGTGGATGGGTGGGTGGGTGTGTAAGTTGGTGGTTCTGGGGTGGGTGGGGGTGGGTTTGTGGGTGGGTGGGTGGGTGGGTGGGTGGGTGGGTGGGTGGGTGGGTGGGTGGGTGGGTGGGTGGGTGGGTGGGTGGGACCTATTTTGACATGATTCGACATTACGGTCCCAATCTAAACCTTATGTGTTGGGAACGTGTTTTCATAACTTCCAACTTAGAGTGTGACTACGGTAAGTGGGAACCAGACCCACATGGGCAGTGTCCTTTGGATTTCCCCTTACACACATCATCCCATTCGACAAACTTGATGAGGACCCCTGCCGGCACAGATTGCCAAGGTTTCCGTATGGCTTCCCTGACTTCCCTGCAGCCATCTAGGCGAAGTTCCCAACGGGGAAACCGCCCCGCAGGCCTGCGAACTGGCAAATCGATTTGCCCTTTCTCTCCTGATTCCTTTGGGGGAAGAAAGGCACCGGGCTCCGAAAAACTGTCGAACGCCTTTTAGTGCGGTCCGTCGAGTTTCCCAAGGGAGTGAAAAGTGAAACCCTCTACGTGGATAAGGAGATTGATAAAACCACTTACCCTAAGCCACTGAGAGGTATGCTTAGGGCAGCGGTGTGTAGTGGTTTGATAAGATCATATTTTTTGTATACTAAAATTGTGGATCTGGTTGAGATTCTGGGGTTGTTTTGCGACTTCATCAACAGCTGCCAGCCTTGCGCGGCATCCCCGCAACTCTTGTGAGGGTCCATCGGTCTACAGGTCTAAAGTCACACCCAAGAGGTTGGTTCAAATGGAGAAACTGACCAAGTGTCCCACAGTCCTCTGGGACCTTTTGTGACATTCGTCATTTTAAGGTTCACTAAATGTGGACTCGACTCGACTAGAAAAGTCATGTTTAGTTGGGGAAAAAGCTGCGGGGATTCGTGCTCGAATCGCCGCACGTGTAAAAATTAGGGGGCCCAGGTGGGGCATCTTTGGGACTCGCACCTTGACACCCCAGCAGCTCGGTGGGAAAGAGATGGTCGTTGATGTTTCGTTCTCGAGGGTACGGGGGGATGCTTTGAGTGTTGCAAGGGCAAACCTTGTAACTTGCCAGGGTTTTGGTGCCTGGATGTTGTTGCTTTACTTGCAATTCTCAGAGATCCTTTGTACCCCTTTGGACGCCCACAAGGTGAACTTTTGGTTCCCATGTTTTTTGGGCAAGTGAGTTTCAAAAGAGAACCCATTCGGATGGGTGCAGTGCGAATGGCCAAACTGTTCTCGGGGACCTGGGAAGGCTTCAGAAGCCCTCCGCCTTTTGGCTTGGATGTTTTTCATGAGCTTGGACGGGGCTCCTTAGAAGATACATTTTGCCCATTTGCAACATGGCTTTTTCCACCGAAATAAAGGGAAACCGCCATTTACAAGGCAATGTTCAAGTGTATAATGTAAGGATCCCTGTTGGAGGGAAATGAACTGTTTGGAGGAGTCGTATTTTTTCCGCGGTCAAACGCGCACATGCAGTCTACTGGGAGTACTCTCAAAGCCCGTGGAAGCTGTCCTTTCTCCCTGTCAAGGGGACATCAGAATCTGGGTGCCAGAATCCAGATCCCACATTTGAGTTTCCTTTCCACTGGTGCATTTTGCTTGGATGTTAGGACTTTAACTTTTTGCCAACTATTGGGTTTTCCATTAAACCACTAAAAGTTAAGCTTTTAGCAGAGGAGCAGAAAGCAACCGAGTATTTCCGTGCCCTCGGATTTTTGCACGAGCTTGAATTCGCAGTGAGCAGCAAAGCGACCCTACAAGCCACCATGAGGCGCACCCGAGTTCGAGTCTGAGCATTTGCCCAGAGCATTTGGACCCTTGTAACTTGCTGGTTCTCAATGGGGAATCGAAGGTTTGCCAGAATAAACCTAGGGATCCCGGTAAAGCCCAAGGGATGGTTTAGAGGGAGTCATCTTTCCTTCCTGGCGAGCCGAGCCAAGTGCCGATTTTGTGCCGACGGTTTCTTTTTGGTTGTGCTCGCTCCTTCCCCCATTGTCGCTCCTTCCGGTTCCCAAAAGCCACCGGGGCCGGGGTAAGCCGCTCTTTGAAACAGACGGATTGCTTAACTTGGCTCCCAGCCATCCTTTTTGCTTTTTAGCCTTTTAGTGTTTAGTTTCCATTTAACCCACTAGAAGTTAGTCACTTTTGGCGGGGGATCCGAGGGCAGCCCAGTTAAGAGGCCATGGCTCGACTTTTTATCTCAGCTCAGTTCTACGGAGGTGACTTGAAGAGATCTCCTTAAACCGGAGATGCGATGAGGCACTCTGGACGTGGGCAGAGATCCAAATCAACTTTCGAACCCACCTTTAAAGGCCCACCAAATTTACCAGTGGGAGCCTTGGGCAAGGAAGAGAAGGCATGCCTCAACGCATAATTTTGTGAGAGGACGATGAGGGTCAAGCCGAACAGTGCAATGAGGTCACCAACCCTTTGGCCCCCTTTTGATTGAAAGTAACGCGGGCTTCCAACTTGATTTTGCAAAAGTTCACCTTTCCAGGGCACATGCTCTGGTTCGAACAGCATTTTGGGCTGCATTTACGTGAGGTTTGACTTCAGTGTGATGTTGGGTGGGCAAACTTGGATTTCTCAAAATTAGAGGGTTTCAAAATGGTTGGTCTCGATCCCTTTGAGTTCCCTGAGCAAGCAAAGTGGGTTTCTTCGAAGAAAGACAACTAGACGCTGGACAGAATTTCAGGCAAGGAGCCCAAACTCGGGAATGATCTTTTACACGTTGGTTCGCTGCACGGAAAGCCACACAAACGCCAAGAGCGAAGGCAGCTTGCCTGCCCATGTTGGTCTAGTCATCCGACATCCTCCTGGTACTTGCCCACAGGTTGCGGCATCTGCGTTCACCTTGCAGTGGGCCATTAAAAAACCTCGGGGTTACACCCTTAGGAAAACTATGTGGAAGAACCCCCAGATGTGATCCGTTCGGTGGCTGTCATCCCAGTGATACAGCAACCCTCAGACAATGCGGACGGTCAAGAAAAAGGTCCACTTTCACCCAAATAGAATATACACACAAACCACAACGATCTAAGCTGCCACAAAGATCTACTCACTCCCTGCGTTCCTGTGCTTTAAATTTTGGTGGGAGTGGTAAACAACGACCAGGTCCCCCAGTAGTGCCCTTTTGCTTACAGAAAAAGGGTACCCTTATTCTAACCTCTCTACTGGAGGACCTCGACAAGTTTGGGCACTTTTGGCCAGTCTAAACCACAAGTCATGTTTGGGTACATTTTTTTTTGCACTTTTTTTGGGTAATGTTGGGGGGATTCTTTTTTGGTACTTTTTGGCCAGTCTAAACCTCAAGTCATTTTTGGGTACATTGTTTGAGTATTTATTGGGGGATTTTGTTTTGGCACTTTTTTGGCCAGTCTAAACCTCAAGTCATTGTTGGGTACATTTTTGGGTAAATTCTTGGATATTTTTTTGGGGCACTTTTTTGGCCAGTCCAAACCTCAAGTCATTCTTGGGTACATGTTTTGGGTAATTTTTCGGGGATGTTTTTTTGGGCACTTTTTTGGCCAGTCTAAACCTCAAGTCATTTTTGGGTACATGTTTTGTGTAATTTTTCGGGGATGTTTTTTGGGCACTTTTTTGGCCAGTCTAAACCTCAAGTCATTTTTTGGTACATGTTTTTTTACACTTTTTTTTGGGGGTACATTTTTTCGGTAATTTTAGGGGGAGTTTTTTTGGGGCACTTTTTGGCCAGTCTAAACCACAAGTGAGTCTAAACCCCTAGGTCTCCCCATCGTTATGGTATTGGGGGGCGCTTTTCCCCCGGGTCTGGCTCTTTGTTTGGGGTGGTGGGGACGCTTACCGAAACCCCGTCTTAAACTTACCTCTTAAAAACACAACTGTTCAACTTTTTGGGTAACATGGGCTATATGTCTGTAAAAGATTAACTTCCCCAGGGCTTAGAGTTTTAAGGGGTAAGTAAACCACCAGCATCCCCGGGCTTTTCGCTTTTCCCCCCGTCCAAACCGAGGCAGTTGGCGCGGAAGTGGGTGAGGGAGGCGGACCTGGACCGCGACGGCACGCTGCGGCCCGAGGAGAGCGAAATCTCCGCGCCGCGCCGAGCGAAACGGAGGGAACGGACGGGTTGGTGGTTTGGAGTGGTTTGGAGTGGTTTGGAGTGGTTTGGAGTGGTGGGATCTACGTGTTTCCTCTGAAGCAATTTGGCTGTGGTAGTCAAAACCAATGGGTCACCCATTTTGGGGTAGGTGAATTCACCACCCATTTTACTTGGGATTTTGGTGGGGGTTGGGATGTTCACTGGGGGTAAGGGTTTTGAACCATGGCCATGACGGGATGGAGGGTGTTGGACACTGGAGTGGTGGGATTTTCCAGGGGCTCCAAGCCAGTTTCCCTTTTTGCAATCTCCCAATGGCGATCATTTCAACGGACACCACCGGTACTTCAAAAAACTTTAGAGGGGGACATGTCCAGTGCCTGTCGGTTTGATCCCCAGATCCCCTTCCTGAAAAAAGTGAGCCGGGGTCTCAAGTCCCCCAGTAGTGCCCTTTTGCCGCCTTTTTTTGGTTGGGAGGGTTCCCTAACTCAAAATAGGCAGCAGAAAAGAATCGGGTACCCTTATTCTAACCTCCAAAACTGGAAGACCTAGGGGGTTCTCAAGTCCCCGGCCGTTTGGACCTAAAGATTACATCGTGACTTGCTTCAGAACTGAACCGCAAAAGGTTCTCGGCGCATGGCCAGTCACAACACTTTGAATATTTTTGGCAGATGGCTTCTGACATCAAAAGGAGTTGCGCTTGGCCGGAGTGTTGTTTGATCGTGCTACTCAAGGGGATGCTGCAGGTGTGCCGTCATGTTCGTTGCTTCAGCTGGCCAAACATAACCAAAGATGTTTGACTCCCAGGCTTGACATGGACAACATCTGACTACATTCTGCTGACTTGTGGAGGCACTGCTGACCCAACTCTTCCCAGTGACCTCTGAATTTGGTCCCACGGCTGCTTGAAGTGACCACTGCTTCTAGGCAAGCCACTGTAGTAGGAAACCGGCACCTTTTGTGATTTCCTTTGTTGCCCCTTTATTCGCCTTGGTCTTGTCTCTCTTGGTTCTCTTTTTCCTGTGGATTGCCTTTGTTCACATTGCGTTCACCTGTTGTTGACCTTTGCTTTGTGTAGTGTTTGCCAGTTCTGCTCTCTTGCTGTGCTTCAAATGTTTGGGCCATGTCCATTTTGTAGGAACGCAGAGGTTCGCAAACTCTTTCTACGTCATCAATGTCTTCTGGGCGTCCACGTCCTTCAAATATTTGAGCCCAATCATTGCTCCGTTTCCATCTTTTTTGCTTTTTGGCCACACGGGTATGTTGTTCTTTTGTGGGCGCTTGTTTTCAATTGAATGGGTGTCTGGGGCATGACTCGGGCTCTATCTCGCAACTTCCTTCATGTAGGGTCTCTTCTTTTTTGAGTCTGCAAACTCCAAGTCCTCCATTTTGTTTTTCTTCTTTTTTTCTTTTTTTTGTTTTCCCCAACAGCTGAAAGCTTTGGGGTCTCAGCCCAGATAGGCTCCGGGGTGGTTCGGGGCGACCCTGAGCTAAGGTTCCACCAGGGTTCCACCAGGGGTTCCACCAGGGTTCCACCAGGGTTCCACCAGGGTTCCACCAGGGTTCCACCAGGTTCTGCAAGGGTGGGGTGGTCTGGGGTGGTTTGAGGTAAGGTTCCACGAGGGTTCCACCAGGGTTCCACCAATTTCTTCGAGGGCTGCGGGTTTGAGGAAGGTTTCACGAGGGTTCCGCCAGGGTTCCACCAGGGTTCCAGGCTGCAGGGTGGTTCGGGGTGGTTTGAGGTAAGGTTCCACGAGGGTTCCACCAGATTTCCACCAGAATTCTGCCAGGGTTTCACCAGGTTCTGCGAGGGCTGCAGGGTGGTCCGAGGTGAGGTAAGGTTGTATGAGGGTTTCAGGGTTCCACAAGATTCTGCGAGGGTTCCACAAGGCTCTGCAAGGATTCCACACGGGTGCCACAAGGCTCCATAATGCTCCACCAAGGGTGTGTCGTGCGCCCGTCGTCTGAAAAGCCATCGAATCAAGATCGCTTTGCTCATGGGCGGAACACTAAGCAAAACCGAAATCAATGGTTTTTAGCACACTTTCACTGTTTTGTGACTTGCTCACTTGCTCGGGCAAATGTTGGCTTTGTGGCAAATCAGATCACGTCGCTGCGGAACTCACGGTGCAGCAGAGTAAATGCTTGGCATTGCTGCTTGGTGGGCTTTGGGTTCCAAGAATTCCACGAGGCTGCGAGGGCTATGAGGTCAAAAGGTTTCCACCAACTTCTGCAAGAGCTATGGGGCAGCCCTGAGGAAAGGTTCCAGCAAAGTTTCACGCGGAGCTCCACGAAAGTTGCGTGAGAACGGTTTGCGAGGTTCACCGGGCCTAGGTCGGGGCCCGGTTGCACCCGATTGCACCGCTTGGATTGCGCCATCGCGCCCCGATCGGGGCCCGACTCAGTCGGGCCCCGTCAATTGTACCAAGCTGGCGTCGCCTAGTTTTGCTATAGACACAGTTGCAATCTGCATACTAAGGAAAACCGGCGTTGAGCTATAACATGGGTGGCTGAGGTTGCACCACGTGACGATCGGGGCCGGATTGCACCGTCGGGCCCCGATCGGGCCCGATTGCACCGTCGGGCCCCGATCGGGCCCCGATTGCGCCGTCGGCCCCGATTGCGCCGTCGGGCCCCGATCACGCCCCGATTGCGACGTCGGGCCCCGATCGGGGCCCGACTCAGTCGCGCCCCGTCTATTGTACCAAGCTGGCATCGCCTAGTTTTGCTATAGATACAGTTGCAATCCGCATACTAAGGAAAACCGGCGTTGAGCTATAACATGGGTGGCTGGGGTTGCACCACGGGACGATCGGGGCCCGATTGCACCGTCGGGCCCCGATCGGGCCCGATTGCACCGTCGGGCCCCGATCGGGCCCCGATTGCGCCGTCGAGCCCCGATCGGGCCCCGATTGCGCCGTCGGGCCCCGATCAGGCCCCGATTGCGACGTCGGGCCCCGATCACAACGTCGGGCCCCGATCGGGGCCCGACTCAGTCGGGCCCCGTCAATTGTACCAAGCTGGCATCGCCTAGTTTTGCTATAGATACAGTTGCAATCCGCATGCTAAGGAAAACCGGCGTTGAGCTATAATACGGGTGCCCCGATCGGGCCCCGATTGCACTGTCGGGTCCCGATCTGGCCCCGATTGCACCGTCGGCCCCGATCGGGCCCCGATTGCGCCGTCGGGCCCCGATCAGGGCGAGATTGCGCTGTCACTCGTAGCTTTGCTTTACAAGGCGGCATCCTCAGCAACACCGGCGGTAAGGATGGTCCCGGGGCGTTCCGCGAGGATTCTGGGAAGGGTGTGGTGCTGTTGGGGATATTGCCCGAGCCTATTTTCTTCTGGCATCTCTTTTTGGAGTCGTCCCTGTATCTTCTTTTTTGAGTCCTTTATGTAGGGCATGGCGGCATGGTGTTTTTTTTCTTCGCGGGTTCCGCGTCCGTCGACTCGCGAGGAGTTCGGGCTGCTGGCCCCAAGGCTGCGGCTGCACCGGATCCTCGCCCGGCTCTGCGGGAAGTACACCGAGCGCCTGCCGACGGCCGGGGTCTGACAGTCTGAAGGCCCGGCTGAACACCGCGGTCGTGGGAGATGTTCTTTCTTTTTTTTTGAGGCGAAGTGAGTATTTTGATTCACTATTCCGGTTTTGGTGGGGGTTTTAAGGGAAAAGGAAAGGGACCACCGTTTTTTGTTGTCCTTTTGTTCAATAGTTTTTTTGGAGAAGCCAACCCTTGTGGATGGGTGCTTAAAAGGAATCCCAAGCAAACCAACCGGGTGCATGCACCAGAGTCCAAGTTGGTGACACACTGTTCTCAGCACTGCACGCATGCCTGCCAAATGAAAAGCACACCCGCTCAAGAGCACACGCTTAGAACCCCACAAGGCACAAAAGTAAACGTTGACTTTTGTATATTGTCTGGCATGATGAGAATCACTTTTGCGGGTGGGTGCCACTCCGCGTTCTAAACGCCCCTCTCAAGAAGGTTCCACGCACCCTTGCCGGAAATCGGGGCTGGGTTTGCCATTGGCCAGGGCTTTGAGCTGAGGCTGCAGGCGGAGTGTCGGGTGTCGAGGCGGAACGTTGACACCGCTTTCTTGGGATTTGAAAAGGAATCCTTGAGACTGGTAGGTCAGCCAATGGAATGCTTGTTGTAAGTTGATTTGTGTAAACGACCACATGGTCTGGCAGATTTTCGAATTCGCTGTCTGAACTAGGCATTGGTTGCTGGTTGTTCTCGGAAACCAGTATGAATTATGATTATTCCTTCGATACATATTTTTCAGAACAAAACAGCTATAGACACCATCCTGATTCAGACATGTGTTTCAGCAGTCGTTTGTTCTCAACGTAGTGATTTTCCCAGCCTCAAGGCGTAATCCGTATGCCAGATGGTGTTTTCCCGCGAAGGTCCGAACAGCAAAACACCTTCCCTGATATGGAACCTGGCTGGATGTTTCAGGCCGGTGCTATGGGTTTCCTCCCGAAGGGAAGTGGATCTGACAAAGTTCCGATCCAGTTCCCAAGCGTGTCGATTCGCTCGCGAGCGGGACCCTCCCGAGTGTTTGTTTGGGTCCGGACTGGGCACGGAAGGGTCTCAGGAAAACCACATGGGCACGAGCATGGGCCTGATGCCATATGCACACATGTGTTGTCCTCTCTGCAATGCGCATGACTCGCCGGCTTTGCAGCAGAGGCCCGAAATCTACTTTGGCCTCCGTAAAAAAGGACACATTGGGCAGATAATCTCCTGCCCTTTGCGTGTACCTCAGGTTGCGGATGCCGGTCGTGCCTAAAAGGCAGGTGCCCGGCATATGCGAACTTCCACTTGGTGAAGAATATGTTTTTATTCCCCTGTTTGTTCTAAAGGGAATCGCTACTGGATGTTTTATTTTTTTTCCAGGGGACTTAAGCAAATGGAGAAGGTCAACTTTCCCAGGCTTTTCCTTGGGCACGCGAGAACAGGGACTCGACCGTTCCACTTTTTGACTAATGCAGGGTAGACTTAAACCCAGGGGTGACTGATTCCCCCCAAAATTCAACAGGAGAACCCCTGATTTTAGTCTATCTTGTAGTCAAAAACTGAAACCATGGGCTCGAGCCTCTTTCTTGGGCCGTGAAGTGGCTCCTTTGTTGGGCAGGACCTCTCCATCTTCCGAACGAGGTTTTGGAGTGAGCCCTGACTGACCGAGGCCGGTCCAATCTTGATCGCTTAGCGGGCCAATCCGCCACCGGCTGAAATCGGCCTGCAGAAGGAACAAAAAGGGGGGCGAGCGTGACGCAAGCTGCTCGTGTGTGTGTGTGTGTGTGTGTGTGTTTGTGGATGGGCGGCTGCCGGGGGGGGGGGTGTAGGTGGTCAGGAAGGGGCCCCTCCACACAGTTTCAAGTTTCCTCGCGGTTGCCAATGGGAGACCACTGGATCGGTTTGCGGTCGCCGCGTGGGTTTCTATTGTAGCGTTGCCGAATCATCAATTAGTCAAGGGGGTCATTGAATTCCTGACCCTGAAAGAAAGCTTTTCTCTCTGTGCTTTCTTTGCATCCCCTTCTGGCCCTTTGATGTTTGCCTCGCGCTGGTCTTCGGACGACCACTCCGCGCTTTTGTGCATGCGGAAGCGTGAGCTTTGGATGGGTCGTAGGCAATATTGCTGGCAGGTTTTCGCATTTCTTTACCACGACTTGTGGTAACATGTGGCTTGCCCAAGTCTTACCCATAGTTCTGTTCCGAACACACCGATGTTTGCACGGGTGTTGGGAAATTGCCAGATCCTTCTAAGGGGCAGCAGAGCCAGAAGGAAGGGTTTAGAGGGTGCCCGGAGGATGCCCCTTGCGCTAGGTCTACGAGGCTGCATTTCGTGTTTCAAGAATCAAAGCACCTATACGACCTGCTACACTTGAAACGTTGGCCGCACCTCACATACGCCTGAAACTGCCACATGGCTGTTCGCCCGAACGGACATTAAGCAGGGCCTGTTTGCGCACTCCTTGAAGGACCTGGACCTTTGTTCCATCAATTGTCAATGATCCGAATCATCGGCGGCTTTTTGGGGGGAAAAAACAAAACAAGATGGGTTTCCCTGGTAAATGGAATGAAACCCGTCTCTTCCCCAGTGCCGCACGTCTATTTGTCATCAAACTGACCTGCAAAGGACACCTATGATCCTAGTGCCTAGGAGCCTGGCAGCAACGACAGGCTGAATTCCCGTACCAGGAATTCCTCGAGTAGAGCCGAAGTGTTGACACGTTGGGCCCCCCAAAATCCCAAAATCAAATCCCAATCCCGAATCGCGACCCGCGCCCGCGGGGTGTGAAGAGGGGCCGTTGGCCCAACAGCACCATCAAAAAACTCAAATCGCACTTCAAGATGCAAGGTGGAGATTCCCATTGGAAAGAAGGAAACGAAACAAAACTTGGTACCACGCAGACAAGGCTACTTCTGATGTTTGCGGGGAACCAAGCCTCAGATTTTCCTAGTGAGCCTCTGTGGCTTTTGAGCCCATGCCAGGTGCAGCGTATGATGGAGAACGCTCGGGGTGACGAGTGGCAGAGCTTGTACCATGCCATCAAGAGCGTGGAGCAGCAGATTATGAGCAGGCCCCGCTCTCGCTCGCTTCCTCGGGGTCGATTCCTCGATCCCGATGGAACGGATCCTGAGCGGAAGGGATAGGTTGGGTGGATTTTTCAAGTGGTGGCTTTTTTTGGAAGGGTTTGCATTTGCAGCAATGCAAGGGGGGGTTCCTTCCTCTCCTGAGACTGATTGACATTTGGTAGTGGCAAGAATGCTCGGGTGTTTAGCTGACACCAAAGGTGAATGCTGATGTGACGAACCATTGAGTTATTGCCTTGGGCTGGTAGCCTTCATACTGACCTGGTTTTCTCATTGGTTACGTGCAACACTAGTCAAATCGGCAATCCACATGAGTACTGTTAGGCCTGAATGTGTTTGTCGATGCAGCTGTTAAAGGTACAATACTGCAAACTTCGTATAGAAGAAGCTTTTGATTCTCTTACTGCAAAGAGCGAGTGACCAAGGTCTTTGGGACTGCGGGGCATTCACTGGATTTGAAATAAGATCCGGCCATGTTTCGCGGACTGGCATGGCTTGCTGTCACAGTAGAGTTCCCATGATTCTACACGCTACCAGAGCTAGAAGGTCCCTTTCCCATTTGAATGTGTGAAGCCTTGCACGCGCGAATGGCGCTACTTTAGCCCGGACATGGAACTACTAACTACTCCAATGCATTAAGATGACACATGACTCGGGTGCAGTGATACTGTACTGATCTTGCAACTCAGCAGGCTGTGAAAAATGAAGGCTGTCTTTATCCCACGCGCAACAACATAGTATAGAGGCTCCTCTGGTTTCAGGGTGGCAACTTCTGGCACGGTAAAGGCCAGGCGAAACTTCGGAGTGGTTGGGCCGAGCCAACGGACCCTTGGCAGGGACGCCTCGACCGGCAAGGAGGACGCGTCGGATGCAGCATTTCATTTCATTGCAAAGTGACCCCTCATGAGTTGCAGGTGTTCTGATGTTTCAGGGCTGCTGGTGTGGGCGGGTCAGTTTTGCAGGTTATTTGGCGAGATCGCTGTCAAGCTTTCCCAATGGATCGGCCACGAACAGGTTCCTCAAAGACACCTTGAGGGAAAGATCAATCGCAAGACCACTTTGAAGGTTCTTGTGAATCCAGGATGCGATCAAGCTGTGAAGGAACTTTTCGACTGTTGCAGAACCTAAGGCCCAGTGGAATTCCCTCTGAGACAAGTCTGGGGGCCTGAATAAACAGAACACACACACACACACGCAAACGCACACAACCGCAAACGCAAACAGAAACAGACATCGAAAGACAAACACAAAGACAAAAACAAACACACACACACACACAAGCAAACAAACACAAGCACACGCCCACCACACTCACAAAACACAAAGACCCACACCCACACAAATACAAAGACCCACACCCACGCAAACACAAACACAAACACAAACACAAACACAAACACAACACAACACAAACACGTCCTGCAACACAAAGACAGCCAGACAGACAGACAGAAAGACAGACAGACAGACAGACAGACAGACAGACAGACAGACAGAGATAGATGGACGGACGGACGGACGGACAGACAGACACGCAGGCAGACAGACAGACAGACAGACAGACACACACACAGACAAACACAGAGACTCGCACACAGACACACAGACACACACAGAGACACACACACACACAGACAGACACACACACACACACACACAAACACACAGACACACACACACACAGACACACACGCACACAACCACGCACAACCACACACAACCGCACCACAACCACGCCGCACCCACGCCACACCCAGACCACACCCACACCGCAACCACACCACAACCACACCACAACCACACACACAACCACACACAACCACAGCACAACCACACCACAACCACACCATCACCACAACCACACCCACACCCCACACCACACCCACACCACAACCACGCCACAACCACACCACAACCACGCCACACCCACACCACACCCACACCACACCCACACCACACCCACACCCCACACCACACCCACACCACACCCACACCACACCCACCACACCCACCACACCCACACCACGCCACACTACACCACGCCACACCACACCACAACCACACCACAACCACACCACAGCCACACCACACCCACACCACAACCACGCCACAACCACACCACAACCACGCCACACCCACACCACACCCACACCACACCCACACCACACCCACACCACACCCACACCACACCCACACCACACCCACACCACACCCACACCACACCCACACCACACCCACAGCACACCCACACCACGCCACACTACACCACGCCACACCACACCACACCACAACACGACACAACACAACGCAACACAACACAACACAACACACGCAACACAGACACACGCAGACACACAACACACACACACACGCAACACACACACACAACACACACACACACCACACAACACACACACACAACACACACAACACACGCACACACCGCACACACACACACACACACACCACACACACACACAACACACACAACAAACACACACAACACACGCAACACACACACACACAACACACAACACACAGTCCACAACACACAGTCCACAACACACAGCACTCAACACACAGTCCACAACACACAACGCACAACACACACACACACAACACACACACACACAACACACACACACACAAACCACACACAACACACACACACAACACAACACACACACAACACGCACAACACACAACACACACAACACACAACACACACAACACACACACACACACAACACACACACAACACGCACACACACACACAACACACGCAACACACACACACACACACAACACACAACACCCAACACCCAACACCCAACACACAACACACAACACACACCACACACCACACAGTACAGAACACACAACACACACACACACACAACACACAACACACACACACACACCCACACACACACCAGAACAACAAATACCTTCAACACACATGGGTGGGGGATGCGTAGCCTCCTTTTGGCGTCCTTTTAAAACCACTCCGAAAGGGTTACTTACCCTCAACAAAAGACACGCCTCAAGTGAATGGTACTTCGTTGGGTGAAGGGCTCAGAGTCGTTGCAGCTCAAGCTACGCCGGGAAAATCGTCGCCGGTACGTCTCAAAGGTGTGCTTCTACGCAGGCGATGGGTGCGACATCGGTAGGGCATGTGGTGGAATGAGCCCGGGCTCAGGCTTTGGTTCCCTAGGTAACCACCAGTTGGGCTGGTCTATAAGGGTCATTCCATGTCTAATTCCCTGCCAATCGCGCCAGCAAGTTTAGGTCTTGAAGTTGATTCTGGATGGATTCGGTAGCTGGGTTTCGGGTTATCAAGTGCCATCTTTCTCAAAACGACACGCCTCAAGTTTCAACCCCGTTGCTTGCCGCCAGGACCCGCGGGAAGTATTCAAGCATATCCAGAACCATTTGAACAAGGAAGCTGGGAGATGCGCGAACAGAGGTCTGGGATCTTTTGAGTTGCTTTGCATTTGAAGGTTTACAAGGACCAGAACCTAACATCATCGTTTTGGGTTTGGGTCTTGGATCCGAGATAGATCTGAGAGAGGGAGAGTCTCCGCTACATTTCAAAAGTGCGGACCTAACATCATCATTTTGAGTTTGGATCTTGAATCTGAGATAGATCTGAGAAAGGGAATTCGGTTGGTGGCCAAGCTGTCTTTGTTTGGATGTTGCAACGAGAGCTGCCAGCCGGCTTCATGTAGGATTGGCTACTTTCAAAAGGTGCATAAGAACAGGACATTCCGGACCACCTCCTTCCAAAGTTGAGCAGGAGACGTTTTGGCACAATGTACGCGGAATGAGAAGCTTCAAAGCTCTTTTTGGCTTCTGCTAGTAGACCAACATTTGTCGTCCAGTGAAGCATGCTAGAGAATCCAACAGGAAACAACGTGATTTGCCGGCTTTGCACCAGAAAAAGAACAACATGCGCCCCGCGAAAGGATGATGGAAGCTTGACAGGTGCTCCCTGTTTGACATGCACTTGGTACACTAAAGCGGGTTGACTTGCTCCACCAGCCATAAAGTGTGGAGTTGAGGAAATTGACCAAGCCGCACACCACAAAGCTTCGTTAAAGCGCAAGCCTCAACATGAAAGGGGGATGTCCATTTGATTCGACCTGGTTTGCGACCTATTGAGTATCGAATGTTGTGGCCAAGACTGACAGAACTTGGAGGTCGCCAAACAATCGCGTTCCCCCAAATATGTTACTTACCGTCGTGGGCATCCCTGTCCTCAAGTGTGACTGGGGGCAAGGGGAATGCCTCAAATCCAGCCGCGCTGTGTGTCTTCGAGTCGAAGAGCGAAGGCAATCCCGCGGCTGACGCATGTTGTTGCTCCCAGAACTCCTCCTCAGCATAGCCTGCGTCATCCTGACGCAGGCCAGCCAAGACATCTGGACCCCAAAGGAATCCCGACATCCCCGGCCCTTTCAACCTTCGAAAGGTGCCGTAAATGCCGTGCAAACCGCCCCCGACAGCAGCCAGCATGCTCGCCAACTTCCGCAGCATCCCCGGCATTCCTGCATCACCAGCAGCCGGGTTTCCAGCATCCCCAGCATCCCCAGCATCCCCGGCATCACGTCAACCTGTTGGGAGTAGGTTTTGGCGGAAAGTGGACATAGCGGGGAAGTTGCAATCAAGCTAGCGGATTTCCGCAAGCGGCGCCGTCAGCGAACGGGTTTCCACGGAAGCAGCGCCCTCGCCAGCGTGCGGAAAACATCGCACATACAGCGCGGTTGTGTCATTTTTTGTGGGTTTCTGTGGGGCTGGGGGGGGGAGGGGGCCCAATGGATTGCCACGTGTCGTGCGCAGTTCCAAGTTGAGATAATCCTCAGAATGGTTTTAATTTTTCAATTAGTGCGGAGGGCACGTTTGCTTCCATGACGGACTAGATGTGGGTTTGTCTCGAAATAGGAATCGGACGGCCCTCTCCCCCAAATGGTTGGTTTCCTTTGGTGCATGTTAAAAAAGAACATCAAACAAAGTGGCACATTCAAACAAAAGACGAGCCACTTATGTCGCAGAAGGGCTTGGTGATACCCCGTGGAAAGAGCCATGTTCATTCACTGTCTACAAACATTTGCCACATAGCCGTGAAAAGCCATTTCAAGACGTCCAAGACCCAGAATAGTAGACCTTGGCGTGCGCATGTACCCAAGGAACTTAGACATGCATACATAAACCAAGTATCACAGTACATGTGCATATATATATATATACAGATATAATCATACACATGCATACTCTATGCAAATATGTATATACACACATTCACACACTGTTCCTCGTGCCGCATTGAGGCAAACCCTCCTCTGCGAAGACACATCATCCACACACGGGCCAAGTCCAAACCCTCAACCTTTCCCCGGCCTCAGAAAGCCTGGGATCTCCTTTGAAGTTTTTTTACATTTTTACCAGGTCCCCCAGTAGTGCCCTTTTACCCTTTTTTGGGGAGGGTTCCCCTACTAAAATAGACTGCAAAAAAACACGTACCCTTATTCTAACCCCTCTCCTGGAGGACCTAGTTCAGGTTCGCTCAACATGAACCAGGATCAAAGTTACATTGCGTTTGGTTGGGGGCAAATGCCGGGGTAGAAAATCTATGCGAACGCCAAGCCTACACAAAGCAAAAAACACCCAGAAACCTTCCCACAAGTGAGAGGTTACAACATCATGAAAGTTCAGAGCTTCGCGTCCTAGATGGGAGTCAAGTGGTTTGCCCGGCGCGCGGCGAACCGCGAAACTCTCCACCCCGCTTTCCAATTGCAAGGGTGAGTTACCAAAGAATTGCATGCCAGCTTTCAAACCATCAACCAGTCTCAAAAGTTGATTTCTGGATGGGAAACAGCCATGTGTTTCTCCAGAAAGGTGACAGGGCCTTTGTTGCAACCTGAAGCAACTCTCCGACTCGCGCCGAAATCCTCAGGAGTACCCAGGGAGTTCCTGAGGAGCGATAGGAGCGAACGAGCGGTTGGCTTCACGCGGATGTGTCCTGAAGCACGAGTCCCAAATGGTTCGCGCAAGGTCCCCCAGTAGTGCCCTTTTTGCATTTTTTTGGGGGGGGGTTCCCCTACTAAAATAGACGACAGAAAAAGGGTACCCTTATTCTAACCTCTCTACTGGAGGACCTAGGATAAATCCCCAAGTCAAGCATCCAAAGATCGTCTCAGGGACTTGTGGTGGTCTCAAATACTGGGCCCCGAAGGACTTCAGGGTTGCGCCTTTTTTCCTTTCCTTTTCTTGAGATGTTGCTTTTCGCTCCAAAAAGGCTTTTACGGCACCATGTGGCAATGCGCGCAACTCGTGGAACGAATTTTGGATCGAAGTCGACCTGAGGGAGGCAGAGGCACCGCCTTGGGAATTTTTTGCACAGTGCTCCCACTCGCAAAAGGTGGGTGTTCCATGGGTCCATGCCGGTCAATACATAAGCGGCGAAAAAAGGGCACGGTCGTTGGGACGCTTCGGGTGTGCCCCATATTTAGGTGGCCCGACGTATGGGAGATCCATAAACAGGTTTCATTTTTGGGCTGCTTTTGCCCGCATTTAGACAACATGTTTGAGGAGCGTCTCCGTTTATGATCCTGGGTGTAGGGCCCTCTAGAATATAAGGAGCACGTCAAGCAGCAGAGTCCATTGATCAGGCAGGAAAGTACCAAGAGTTCTTGCACATGAATATGTGTTGGCTTTGCATGTAGCTGCTTTTGGTGCTGCCTCTCTTGGCCCTTGCCAAAAGTTGAGGATGATCAGAGCGTGGACCATGCTTCAGATGGCTGGAATCATCACGCTTGCAAGCATTTTCGAGCTGGCCCCGGGTTCCCGGGGTTCCCCCAGGACCCATCAGAACATGACATGAGACTTGCCATTTTCATTTGGGGTAGGCTTGTCCGACAAAATTCGGAGGGTCTTCGATTGTCCGGCGGACAAAGGAACTCGTGCCAAACATTATCCTTCTATCATGATTGCAAGGGGAGCTTCAAACTTGTCTGTTTAGACACTCCAGGATCCAAGTGATGTTCACTTTCAGCCAGGGTTTGGCTTGGTTGCCGGTAGCCTTTGGGATTAGACTCCGTGCCAGGAGGTGGCGAGCTTGTGAGGGTCACAAGGCCGGGCCAGCTGCTTTTCCGGACGGCAAACGGCAAACCCCGAGGGTTTCGATAAGGAATCGATCCCCTAACCTGGCAACGCTTTCTTTTTGGTTTCCCTTTCAAAATACTCATCTTTTTGGGGTGTCCGAATCCCATTTTGAGAACCCCATGGACTTAGTTCAGGATTTGGGGTGTCCGAATCCCATGTTGAGAGCCCCACTTAGTTCAGAGGAAGCCGGACTGGTGACCCAAAGAGCAAGTTCCCCAACGAGAGTGGCCCTGCAAGCCGGTGAGAACCATGCCCAACGCGCCCAACGTGTGTCACAGCCATGTAGCCACTCCCCAGCTCTCGAGGCCGTCTCTGCGTCTTGTCCTGCTTGGCCCTCAGATCACACTCAAGCCCTTCTGGGGGATCTGGGATCTGGGTCCCCGAAAGACACCATTCTTCCAAAAACAGCCCCTTTTTGGGGCATCGCCCTAAAAGTTGGGATGATCAGAAGATCGGCGCATTTTTTTTTTTGGGGGGGGATCAATATATCAATATCAACCGTGGCAGCATGTTGGACCACCAATCTACTCAGGACCAAAGTTCAAGCACTTGGCACTTTGGCAGATCGCAAGTTGGCACTGCACTCTCCAAGGGATGTGGGGTGTACTTGTGTCTACCCGCTGACTCACAAGATTTTTCAAGAAACCAGCGTATGGCGGCTGTGAATTTTGATGCCTTGAGAGCCCTGGGGAATGGATCTGCATAGCTTACAGAGCTCAGATGCGCTCGCTCAAGAAATTGGCGGATCCCTTCCCCGCTCGGTTTAAACTAGTTGCTTGAGTTGTAGATTGTCTTTCGTCGATTTGACAGCCGCCGGGAAAAGAGAAATGAAGGTTTCGGGTTCCGGCTCATTCATGTGTTCCAGCTTGGAGGAAGCTGCTTGGCCAACATCAGACCAGTCTGAGTTGACATCGTGTGAGTTCAAGGTCTGCTTGCTTAGGACTCCCCCACACCTGCTTGGTCTGCCTGGTGCAGAGGCTCGAGCTTTACGCGGCTTCCGATGGCCTTCCCCAGCTTTCATTTGACTCCCAGCGAAGCATCGAGCGATCTCGCTGAGGTGCAAAAGCACTGGTGAAGCTTGCTGTGTACAGAGTTTACAGAGAGGCACGGCTGGGCAAGGAGGGCAAGGAGTTGATGGCCTGCCATGTAAGGTTCTGTCTTTATGGCCCTTGTTAGATTCAGAACACGTGTAGCCAGTGTCTCATGGTTTTGTTCATGGCTTGTGTTTTGCTGTTGTCTCTGTGCGTTTGTTTGCCTGTGCATGTTCCCTTCCATTATCTTGAACGGAATCCTAATGTGCTTGCTGAACATGAGGAAACCAGACGCTGTAGGCGATTGCTCGCCCCTCTCTTTTGGCGAGGGGAATCAAGGCGCATGACCCTGAATGGTGTTGAAGTGTTGGGGCCCTGCCGTACGGTTTAGTGGTTGGATTTCCATTTCATCCACTAAAACTTGGTCACTTTTCGCGGATCAGAAAGCGGACAGCACAGAGACGGATTCTGCTCCGTCGGGAAGCCACCGAATCGCCTCGTACGTCTCCGAAAAGCTTCAGGCTCAGAGGGGCCCATATTCGATCCGAGGGTTGATGTGTGAAAGCCATAGGGTTCCGCCAAAATCGGGTCGTGGTGTTCGCGGTTCGTTGTGTGGGCATCTTGAATACGCGTAGAAAAGCGCTCGAAGGCGCGATGAAGGTGGATGTTTACCTGCCCAATGGAGATGGTTGCTGCGTGGAAGTCTCGCCGGCGATGCTCGTCGGCGAGCTAAAGGCTGCAGCACAGGAGCATTTCCAGCGCCCCTTGAAACTTACTGCGAAAGGCCGGCGGCTCGATTTGACGGCCACTGTGAGCGAAGCCGCGTTGGGAGATGGGGAGATAGTGACTGCAGTTGTGGAGCTGGGCAACCTGGCTGCCACCGCTAAGGCATTTGCTTTGTACGGTCATGGGCTCGAACTTGTGACCTGGGGTCATCCAGACTCTGGCGGGGACAGAAGCCAGGTGCAAGAGCAACTGAGGAGCATCCAGCACATCCAAACAACACACTCTGCTTTTGCTGCCATTCTGGAATCTGGGGCTGTTGTGACCTGGGGTCATCCAGTTTTGGGCGGAGACAGCAGCCAGGTGCAACAGCAGCTGAGGAACGTCCAGCACATCCAAGCAACTGGTGGTGCTTTCGCTGCCATTCTTGACTCTGGGGCTGTTGTGACCTGGGGTGATCCAAGAGTTGGCGAAGCCAGCAGCCAGGTGCAAGAACGGCTGAGGAACGTCCAGCAGATCCAAGCAAATCACTTTGCTTTTGCTGCCCTTCTTGAATCTGGGGCTGTAGTGAGCTGGGGTCAATCGGCCTGGGGCGGAGACAGCAGCCAGGTGCAGGAGCAGCTGAGGAACGTGCAGCACATCCAAGCAACTCGTCATGAGCATTTTGGTGGTGCTTTTGCTGCCATTCTTGACTCTGGGGCTGTTGTGACGTGGGGTAGTCCACACCGTGGTGGAGACAGCAGCCAGGTGCAAGAGCAGCTGAGGAACGTCCAGCACATCCAAGCAACCAGACGTGCTTTTGCTGCCATTCTTGACTCTGGGGCTGTTGTGACCTGGGGTGATCCAGCTTTGGGCGGAGACAGCAGCCAGGTGCAAGAGCAGCTCAGGAACGTCCAGCACATCCAAGCAACTGAGGGTGCTTTCGCTGCCATTCTTGACTCTGGGGCTGTTGTGACCTGGGGTGATCCAAGAGTTGGCGGAGACAGCAGCCGGGTGCAAGAGCGGCTGAGGAACGTCCAGCACATCCAAGCAACTGAGGGCGCTTTTGCTGCCATTCTTGAATGCGGGGCTGTTGTGACCTGGGGTGATCCAGGCTATGGCGGAGACAGCAGCCAGGTGCAGGAGCAGCTGAGGAACGTGCAGCACATCCAAGCAACTGGCCGTGCTTTTGCTGCCATTCTGGAATCTGGGGCTGTTGTGACCTGGGGTCATCCAGTTTTGGGCGGAGACAGCAGCCAGGTGCAACAGCAGCTGAGGAACGTCCAGCACATCCAAGCAACTGGTGGTGCTTTCGCTGCCATTCTTGACTCTGGGGCTGTTGTGACCTGGGGTGATCCAAGAGTTGGCGGAGACAGCAGCCAGGTGCAAAAGCTTGGGGGAAGCTCCCAATGTTCCTATCTGGGGTAAGCGGTACACGGGTTGACAAAAATCGGGCCACGTTTGTCACTCCTCTTTGTGGCATCTGCAAAAGAGGACACCCACAAAAGGTTGAGCCCATTCTGTTACCCCCCTTTTTTTGGTTTGGTTTCAAACAACACGGAACCAACACAAAAAAAAAGATCCCCCAAAATTGACACATACCCAAGTGTTTGTTAGCGATGCTCGTTTGCTTGTTTGACCCTGGGCACATTTTCTGGGCTTGGCACGTGCCAGGTGGGCATTTGGCGATGGCTCAGCGCCAGTGTGCCCTCCGGCCGAAGTCGGAAGGGCAGAACGAGCCCCATGAAGCTTCTTCTAGGTCCCCCAGCTAGCTGCCCTTTTGCCATTTCGTTTTTGGTTGGGCGGGTTCCCCTACTAAAATAGACTACAGAAAAAAAGGGTACCCTTATTCTAACCTCTCTACTGGAGGACCTAGTCTTTACTCGGGGCGAAATCTGATTTCTGAGTGTGGCCTCCAGAACAACCTAAACATTTTTTTCGCGGGAGGCGGAGACGGTTCGATGTTTGAATCCTAGTAATTGGTGTGTCTCGAAATCAGTTGGACCTCCGGTGGCCTAGTGGTTTTCCATACTTTTCCCGTTTTGACTCCAAGTCAAGCGTGCGCTGGATTTGGTGATGC